AAAATATCCAATCAGATGTTCTACCGCAGCTCAGGCGATACATAAGGCCGCTACCACGAACACCGTAGAGTGGAATACAACGGAAGGGAGGGGAAAGCTCACACATATTATATTCTTTTCTCCTCCTTCACACCAATCCGCGCATAACCGCTTTCATAACCCGGCACGTTATGCTCGCTCGGCCTGTAACCCCCCCAACTTTATCCCATGTAATATACCCTCGTTTGCCGGAGGTTACATAACGCCCCCGTACAACCGTGCCCAAACCGCTTTCATAACCCCGCACGTTATGCCCGCTCNCCTTCACACCAATCCGCGCATAACCGCTTTCATAACCCGGCACGTTATGCTCGCTCGGCCTGTAACCCCCCCCACTTTATCCCATGTAATATACCCTCGTTTGCCGGAGGTTACATAACGCCCCCGTACAACCGTGCCCAAACCGCTTTCATAACCCCGCACGTTATGCCCGCTCGGCCTGTAACCCCCCCACGTTATCCCATGTAATATCCCCTCGTTTGCCGGAGGTTACATAACGCCCCCGTACAACCGTGCCCACTGGCCACCTGTGAAAACAGGTTTAACGCGAGCGTCCTTGAATAAAGCGGGGTCGACTGTAATCCAAGAATCTCGAGTTTGAAATATGTCAACTTCTGTGTGTTGCTGTGGCAAATACATGAGGTGCTACGCAGATACATACGTCAGTGTTTTGTTTTATTGTCTACACAGATGCACCAACACCACAAAAGCTGAACAAGCTCGCCCTGCTCTCGTATGCTGCCTTTTTTTCGTAGACCACTGCTGTAGCGGCGGTCTAAATAACTGAGATGGCCACGGCCGCACCGTACCTTCCCGCGATCCGCTGCCTGATCACGACTGATCACGAGGTGGCACCAAACCATGATGTCAGTGAGCATGGCGATGTGTGGAGATCCTCAATCCTCGTCCTCAACTGATCGTAAAAATTTGAGATCAGACTACCAAGCAACTACCCATCTACCCATCCTCGCCAACGCCAATGACATCCTCCTGGGGGAGCGTGGTGTTTGACAGCGGGTCGAGCGCCATCTCTGCTTTGAGGAGATCGTCATTTTTTTCCGCGGAACTTTGCAGGGAGGCACTTCCTATGTCCTTCCCGTCGATGTTGGGGATGTCTTTGTACTCGGGAATAAACGAGTAGTTTCGAACATCACGATTTCCAGCCAGTACTCGTCTACTCGGCTGCGGTTCCCCACACAGAAAAGACCGCAGTGGCTGAAGTCTCTCTCGACCTGAGCGGCAGAGGCTTGACTGCCGAATGTTTGCTGCGCCACATACTTGAGTGAGGGGAATGAAGTTTTCTATGGTCTTCCAGCAGTTGAGGGCTTCGCTGGGTGGCAACTGGAAGGAAGGGTGAAGGACACGGAAGGGCCGCAGGATCGGGAGTATTTGTGTTGTTAGTGTCGTTCAAATTCGCAGCTTGCCACAACACATGGACAAAAATAATAATAAAATGCCAACATTAACACGCACATGTACAAAAGTCTAGTCGTTGTTGTACTCACGTCGATTGACTTGATGAAGACTCCCTTGTACCGCATGATTTCACTCGAGACCTCATCCTCCACCAAGTCCACATGTCCTTCGCTGCCATTGGGAGCGACTTCGTTGCGACCAAAAACTGGGAAGGCGTCCTCGCGATTCTTGCGACGAGATGGGCCCGGGGCGCTAGTGCGGGCGCGCTTCAAAGGACCTCCCCCTCCGCCCTCACCACCACCCGCGGCCTGACTCTGCGCTGTCTTCACGCCTGCGACGGCTCGCTTCTTGATTTCCCCCAAGCTCCATCCAGCTTCTCTTGCACCTCTTCGTCCAGCGTAGGGGCCGTCACGCACGACCCGGCAGGCAAGTACTCGCCCTCCTCTGCTGTAAGCTTCATCGCGGAAAGGTAGTTCCCCTCACTGAACGGCGGTGTCAGGAGGCAGGCAGCGTCGCATAACACCGAGGGGTCCAGGGTTGATGTGTCCCACACACGACCGTAGAACCTCGTCCCGAGCGCGCGGCAGAGTTCGTTGCGCTCCTTCTGTGCCACGGGGTCCAAGTAGTCGTGTGCTACCATGTGGTGCGGCAGAGCTTTCTTCTGTTCCTTGCGGTCCGGGAGGCCGTCTTCTCCAAGCGGCGGAATGTCGAAGACCTTGAGTTCCTCCGACGGGTCCAGCACTCGCATCTTCAGCATCGGCGCACCCCCGTACTGGCCATCACGCGTGACGGAGGAAAGCGGCTGCAGCAGCGAGTTGAGCTGAAGGATGCAGTCCGTGATGTCGCCCTCTTCTAGTGGAAACGTTTTCCCCGTGTCGCTGTAGAGCTTTCTCAGGACGTGCCACAAGCGGATGACGCGCTCCAGTGTGGGAACCAGGGTGAGCCACCGTTGAGGAGCTTGGTTGGGGAAGACCTCGCCCCACACGTCCACCTGAAGGTCGCCGAACTTGGCCTTGAAATTAGAAGACCTGTGGAGGGTCCCGACCAGATTGATGAGCTTCTTGAGCATGTCGCGCGCTTTCGGGTTCTTGGACTTCTGAGGGTCGACGTGGGTGCCAAAGCCGTCCTCAGCGGCCTTGACCATCAGGTGGTAAAAACAGCAATTCCACAGAACCCCAAACTGCGGGTGGAGGCCGTTGACACTCACAGACTTGACGTCCAATCCACTGTCCGTAGTACCCGACGCGAGGTCAGATGGGCGCAGGCCGAACTCGTGCAGGATAGCGTTGACGATCTCGAGAAGCACCTCCGAGGCCTTCGCCTCTCCCACAGCGTCCTGGGAGGGTTGGTAGCGCTTGATCTGGGCGAAAGCACGGAAACAGAAATGGAGGTGATAGAAAGGACGGTGCATTCAAGCTTTCTGTGAGGTGTTGGGGTTCGACAATATAGCCGTGGTCAGTGCTCAAGGAAAACAAAAAAACAATTATTTTCACATCCGTTGCGATCTCTCCGTGAACAACAAAGTGCAAAGACAGAAGGCATCAATAAACAAAAATCTAAACCATGCCCTAACAAAACTCCACTAGAGACCATTACTAAACCCTTATGTGACAGAAAGGACGGTGCATTCAAGCTTTCTGTGAGGTGTCGGGGTTAGACAATATAGCCGTGGTCAGTGCTCAAGGAAAACAAAAAAACAATTAATTTCACATCCGTTGCGATCTCTCCGAGAACAACAAAGTGCAAAGACAGAAGGCATCAATAAACAAAAATCTAACCCATACCCTAACAAAACTCCATTACAGACCACAACTAAACCCATATGTGACAGAAAGGACGGTGCATTCAAGCTTTCTGTGAGGTGTTGGGGTTAGACAATATAGCCGTGGTCAGTGCTCTGGACGGTGCATTCAAGCTTTCTGTGAGGTGTTGGGGTTAGACAATATAGCCGTGGTCAGTGCTCGAGGAAAACAAAAAAACAATTAATTTCACATCCGTTGCGATCTCTCCGTGAAAAACAAAGTGCAAGGAAAGACAGAAGGCATCAATAGACAAAAAACTAACCCATGACCTCACAAAACTCCACTAGAGACCACTACTAAACCCATATGTAGAAAGAAGGAAGTACGCGCCACATGTGTTTCAACACAAGCAACTCTTGAAGTTTTACGTCCAACACCAGGCCGGATCATGTACTCACAGAGAGCAGGGTGTGCTTCATCTCGAAGTTGGCAGTCACGTGGAAAACATGAACACCGAGTAACTTGCGCCCCGATCCTTTGTCAGTCCAGATGTCGATCATGTGGTGCAGAATGGGTAGAGGTGCATTCTTCACTTCCTCCGACATGTGCTCATGACCTGCGGTGAAACGGCGGTGTTGTGGGGTATGGAAAACAAACATATCAGTTTGGCTATCAGAACAAACGAATCGGATACAAACGTTGGAACCCTGGAATTGTGGCCAACACTGGCATTAGAAAGAAAATATTAACAGCACAGAGAAGCCCCATACGGCCACCCCCATACTACTGCAACAACGCGACACTCAGAGCACCGGGGCCTAAGCACTATGGGAAGCATTCCATTCACTCACCAGCAACTCCTACGCTCTCAACACCCGGGTAAACGAGAAAAGTGGATTAACCAACACGCAAGTATTGGAATAAACGCCGCCGGTGTCGACGAAAGGAACACACTGGCACCACCGCCACTAAACCGACCCTTCTGTTTTGAGTTTTTTTTTACGGCTCCCTTCCGTACCCCGTGCATCTTCATGCCTGGCTTCCTTCTTATCCTTGGGGAGAGTAATGGGCGGGTTACCTAGACCACGCAACCCATCCTCAGGCCCTTGTTGTTGTTGTTGTTGTTGTCTTCACATTAAAAACCATCCCGGTCTCTCTATCCAGTACCTCCTTCTGTCTCAATCTCTCCGTACTATTAATAATCCATCACTTGACTCGGCCAATTTCCGTGGTCACAGGCTAACGTACCTAGAAAAGGTATACCAAAATAAAATGGACCCCAAGGGTCAGCAGAGCGATAAAATACAAGAAAACAAAATATAATCAGAAACAAATAAAATAAAATAAAATAAATAATTAGACTAGTGGAACGGCCGCACCACCAGCCTGGGGGGGTAGCCTC